ATCTTCTGGCCACACGCCCGGACATTACCTACGCTGTTCATGTGTTGTCTCAATTTATGCACACGCCTCGCAAGGAACATTGGAACGCAGCTCTGCGTATTGTACGTTATTTGAAACTTAATCCAGGACAAGGCATTATTCTCCGATCAGATTCGGATTTGAGACTCTACGGATGGTGTGATTCCGATTGGGCCGGTGATCCACATTCTCGCCGTTCTCTCTCCGGCTACATTGTCCAACTCGGAACCTCACCAATTTCCTGGCGCTCGAAACGACAGTCGACCGTCTCTCTCTCCTCGGCAGAGGCCGAGTACAGAGCCATGTCTGTGACCACTTGCGAGTTATTATGGCTTAAAGCTCTACTTCACTCTCTTGGCGTACACCATTCGGACACAATGCTTCTCCATTGCGACAGTCAAGCAGCATTACACATTGCCGCAAATGACGTCTTTCACGATCGAACAAAACATATTGAGGTCAGTTGTCATTTTCTACGCCATCATATTAAATCCGGACAGATATCTACTCGTCATGTTTCATCGTCAACCCAACTTGCGGACATCTTCACGAAGGCACTCGGAAAGAAGGAGTTCACGACATTTCTCTCCAAGTTGGGCATACATAATCTATATGCTCCAACTTGAGGGGGGTATTACGAACATACGGGAAGATTGATATTTATCAAACACGGCAACTGCATATTGTTTGTTCCTATATATCAGCAATGCCAGATCATGTTTCTATTTTTGATAAGTTTAGGTCGCGTCCTCTGTTTGTATAAAAAAACCTGTAAACATGTTGAATGAAGGCAAGCCGTTCTTCTGAAAATTCCTTTGCTCAATCTGATATTTGTCACCCGTTGCCAACCCGACACTTCAGATTTTTCGAAAACATTCAATATTAGTAAAAGAAGAAACCAGAATACGAAGGAGAGATGATGAAAAAATGCAAATTATTTTTTCTTGAAAATTTATATTGGTTAAAAAACTGATAATAAAATAAAAATCAAATTAAATATACGATTTTTTAGAAAGAATAATGTTGATATGACGCATAGCTGGGAAAATTATACTGGTTAACAGATTTATATTGAGAAAGGAAAAATGAGAAAAAACCTAACATTTATAAATATTGAAATCAGTTATAATATGATTATATATGCTTTGATGAAATCGTAGGAAATATTATCGTAAACCATCGTTATTAACACATATTTTATTTATCTCTTAATATTTTTTTTGATAATCTATTCATCTCCTAATATTATTAATATTTATAACCTCTCGATATCCGTACAATCTTTCAATCTCTATAACTGCCCTTATATATAATCTCTCAATTTCAACAATGCGTACACACACACTTGCAAATTTATCCAAAGTGGATTCGAGGTTTGGATGATTATAATCGGGTTTAAGCAATCCAAAAGGGTGACTAGATGATTAGATAAACCGTACATATCTAAAAAAATCTTCAAAAATATATATTTGGCTAAGCTAAATATTGTCTTTTACCATTGAATTTCTAAAAGTCCATAAAAGACAGCGAAACCCACTAGATTGAAACCCCCCTAAACTTTGGGAACTGATAGAACACGACATCCATATCTCTGACTAAAACCAGCAAACAACAAACTGTCAGTTGCTATTCTAAGCGGCCACCAAAAATCTGTCTGAGAATGGCTTGATGTATTCGAGGGTTATAAATATCTGAAGAGAATTCAAAAGGAAAGCAAGGAAAGCGAGGTCAAAGAGAAGTGAGAAAGGGGTTTACGAAAAGAAACCAGCCTTTCGTCCTTCTTTACCTTTGAAACGAGTTTTTTTTTTCGTAAAGGGATGGCAGGAGGAGCGTTTGCAACAAGTGGAGGAGGAGAATATGAGGGGAGAGTCACGGCCTTCGTCATCATAACATGCGTGGTGGCAGCCATGGGAGGTCTCCTCTTCGGTTACGACATCGGTATCTCAGGAGGAGTGACTTCCATGGAGGAATTCCTCACTAAGTTCTTCCCCGACGTTCTCCGTCTTCAGCACCAGAAATCGAAGACCGACACTCAGTACTGCAAATACGACAACGAGCTTCTCACCCTCTTCACGTCTTCCCTTTACTTGGCCGCCCTTTTCGCATCCTTCTTGGCTTCCACCATCACTAGGGTTTTTGGCCGCAAACACTCCATGTTTATCGGAGGCCTTGCTTTCCTTGCCGGTTCTCTGCTCAACGGTTTCGCAGTAAATGTTGCAATGCTAATCATCGGTCGACTCATGCTCGGTGTCGGCGTTGGATTCGCTAACCAGGTAATTCACTCGTACACTTTGATACACTATTGATCGTGCTATTGATCAGTGATACATAGTGCCAAGATCCATCTTATCACCTGTGCAACTGCAGTCTGTTCCTGTCTACCTATCTGAAATGGCACCGGCTCAGATCAGAGGAGCGTTGAACATCGGATTTCAGATGGCAATCACCATTGGTATCTTTGTGGCGAATCTTGTGAACATCGGAACCCCCAAGCTGAAGCACGTCGCCGGATGGAGAGTCTCTCTCGGATTGGCTGGTGTTCCAGCCGTAATGATGCTCATCGGATCCATTTTCTTGCCCGACACTCCAAACTCCATCCTCGAACGTGGCAACCACGAAGAGGCCAAGGCAATGTTGCGAAAGATCAGAGGCGTCGAGAACATCGAACGCGAATACAACGACCTCTACGCTGCCAGCCAGGCCGCCAAGAAAATCGAGCACCCATGGAGGAACATCATGAAACCTCAATACAGACCGCAACTCACTTTCTGTTCGGTGATTCCGTTTTTTCAGCAGCTTACAGGGATCAATGTGATCATGTTCTATGCCCCTGTCTTGTTCAAGACATTAGGGTTTGGAGATGATGCAGCCCTCATATCTGCTGTTATCACCGGACTGGTTAACGTGATCTCTACCATCGTTTCCATCGTCACCGTCGACAAGTTTGGACGCAGGGCTCTCTTCCTCGAGGGTGGTGCTCAGATGATCTTGATGCAGGTACCTGTACATACACACACACCCATATATATATAGATAGATATATTAATTAGCCCATATATACAAATCAAGAAAGCTCAGTAAGTACTTCTCTGTTTGATATGTTTGTAAAAACAGATCGGCGTCGGATCAATGATCGGATGGAAGTTTGGACTGAGGGGAGAAGGGACGTTGTCAAAGGCGGATGCGGACGTGATCTTAGCCATGATCTGTGTCTACGTGGCGGGGTTCGCGTGGTCGTGGGGGCCGTTGGGATGGTTGGTGCCGAGTGAGATATGTCCGCTGGAGATCAGATCTGCGGGTCAATCCATCAACGTGTCGGTGAACATGTTCTTCACCTTCGTGATCGGACAGTTCTTCCTCTCCATGCTCTGCCACATGAAGTTTGGTCTCTTCTACTTCTTCGCCGTTATGGTCGTCATCATGACAACCTTCATGTACTTCTTGTTGCCTGAGACGAAGGGCGTCCCCATCGAAGAAATGGGCAGAGTCTGGAAGTCGCACAAGTTCTGGTCCAAATACGTTCCCGACGATGCCGTGATCGGTGGAACAACAAGCAAAGACGACGACTTCGATTCTAGGGCTTGAAGAAACCCTAAATTTGAATTTAATTTCTTTGAATCCCCATTTCGACGTTCCTGATATTTTATGCGTTTAATTTGTTCTTGAGAAAACATTTGTAAGGAGAGAACAATTGTACATACCCGCGATGAAACCTACGGAAAAGAAAAAAAAGTAATAAACATGTGGAGAATCTTTCGGACCAAAACTCAAAGAGTCGTGCAAAAAAGTTATATGTGTGTGTGCGTGCGCGCATAAAATACAGACGTAGACCATGTCTTCGTCTTTCATCGTATTATATTCATAAACAACTAAGTAACAAGTCGCATTTTATTTATTTATTTTGGTAATATAACAATATGTACACGCACGTGCATGCATGCGCATATTATCACATGGATGACGAATTTGATGCAACAACAGGTTAACAATATGATGGTGGGTTCCATTACATATCACAATCCCTTTTTTGTAATATAATATTCAAAATCACTTTCCATAACTTTCCAAAAAAAAAAAAATCACTTTCCATAACTAATAAAAGAAACTTATCTTCGGTTCAAAGCTGAGGTTTATGGCATCAGAAAGTCATAATGCCAACTCAGAAAGGTCGAAAGCCACGCCCAACGGAGTCAAATCCCTCTGATCCTTTGATTTTAATTATATATATATATATATATATATATATATATATATATATATTGAAACTTTTGTTTAAACTGTTCGAACTAATTAGGAAACCCTACGTGGAATTATGGGACCCCTTTGGGCTTATAATACAAGCCGACAATATTCTCACACACGGTTTTATATATATATATATATATACACATATACATATATTCATATGTGTGTGTGGCTAAGTAAAAGAAAAAGCTTTTCTCCAACTTGTAGGTAAAAGAATGTCGGAGTCTAACGTCAGATGGTGTAGATAATGTTCTGAGCATTATCTAAAAACGCCTTAAGATAACGTCGGAGACAGAAGTTGAACCTTGAGGGGTTATGTTATATTTCAATCTTGGTCTATTCGTGTGAATTTGATGTAATATTGCCCAAAGAATCATTAGGAATTATTATTATTTTGGTTGGTTTTTTGATAAACCACAAACACAAAATTTGGGCAAAAACATTATTTTATTTTAAACTTTTCTTTTGCTTTCTCCTTTGATTTTTTTTTCTTCCTTTCTCAAAGCAGCCATACATATAACCATATGCCTAATCTTCTCATTTCCTTTCAAAAAAAAAAAGAAACCCTAAAAAAGTGGCCTTTTCTCCTCCCTTGATGGGTCATCAATGACTCATCTCTCGTCTGCAAACAAATGGTTTCAAAGATTCACGGCTTCAACTGCCTCCTGCCTTCCCCCTTTATATACCGCTCTTGGATCCATTTTCTTGCCCGACACTCCAAACTCCATATGACTCATCTCTCGTCTGCAAACAAATGGTTTCAAAGATTCACGGCTTCAACTGCCTCCTGCCTTCCCCCTTTATATACCGCTCTTCAACCACTCGGTGTGTTCATCGGATCCATTCTCCAGTCTTTCCCAAGAACTCAACTCGAAGATGGACATGAACATGAACAGACCTCAACAACAAGTCATCTCGATGCCACCGGTCAAGAATTCGCCAGCCGGCTACTTGCCCGATCCCACTGCCGTTACCAAATTCCGGGTTTCGACTTCTTCCAACAAATCTGAACAAAGTTCGTATCTTTATCCTCTTACATTCATTCCCCACCTTGTTAGTTCTTCTCTGTCTTTGAATGACAGCTAACGGGTCTGTCTCTGTTATGGCATGACAGGCAAAAGAAAATCTGTTCTCAGAAGAATAATAAGCACACGAGGGAAGAAAACCGACAGTTTCACTAACGGAGCTAGCGACCATAGCAAGATTACCGAAACTGTGAAGAGGAAATTGACATTGGGGGCGAGGATTCTTCAAGTGGGAGGGCTCGGGAAAATCTTCAAACGACTGTTCATGGCTGGTGAAGGCGAGAAACTGTTCAAGGCATACCAGTGTTACCTGTCAACTACTGCAGGCCCTATCGCAGGTCTTCTCTTCATCTCGTCCAAGAAGATCGCCTTCTGCAGCGAAAGATCGGTCAAGATGGCTTCTCCTCAGGGAGACATAGTCCGAGTTCATTACAAGGTATCGATCCCATTGAGCAAGATCAAGAGAGTAGACCAGAGCCAGAACACAAAGAAGCCATCGCAGAAGTACCTGGAAGTAGTCACCGTCGATGATTTCGAGTTTTGGTTCATGGGATTCTTGAGCTACCAGAAAGCCTTCAACTGTCTTCAGCAGGCACTGTCTCAGAGCTTCGAAGAAGAAGACATGATGTCCAATTAGCCGGTTTTCTGAGGTTATTCGGGGTTTAAGAAGAAACATTCCATTTCTTCTTACCTGTTTTCCATCAGAATAGTGGCGTGAATGAAGTTAGGAGGTGCAATAGAAAGACAACAATATTGTACAAACTCATTTTTTTTAATCATTTCTTTCCCAATTGTAGACAGACTCATGCAAGAAATGAATATAAAGGCTGTTCTTTTACCCTAATTCTACACCAACACGGTCAATCCAAATAGGAAAACAATGAAAACCGAGTACGGGAGAGTTTACCTGTACAGGCCCTGGGAGTATAACTCGAGTAAGCATTTCTTGTGGGTCGAAAGAAGAACCAAGCAGAGAGCTCAACCACATAAATACATCCAAAGAAGAATGATAGACATAGGCTCAATGCATAATCATAAGGTCAGTATTCCTGAGAAAGTTTACCCAAAAAGGCTTAATAGCACAACCTGCTCCCTGTCTCATGCATTTCTAACAATAATTTCAGAGAACATTTTGGCTCAATAAGAGCTAAATCGGTAAGGCAGGATCAGTATCCTCAACCCAACACCAAATTATTGGAGGAGGGAAATGCCGGTCCAAGGAGAGTAGGACAGAGTAAAGTATATGACAGCAATACAAAATAAAAAACATATTGCAAGCGGTTGATGTATATAAAGAAGGGGTCACCAATCAAGTTTTGATGCACAAGGTGTACAAGAGCTTGAGAAAAACTCACTGAAGGACCATCACACATAAGGGTGCATGCAACAGTGAGGATCCAGAGGGTAGTGGCCACCCGAAATGTCCTCAAGGGACATGTCATATTACGAAAAAATGTCCTCAACCGCTGAACCCATAATTTCCAGAGTAGAGCATCTGGCCCAATTAAATCTCCCACGAAAATCACTTTACAGCATTTGGGGAACACCAGTCCAGCTTCATCGCATCTTCCTTTCGTCACATGAGGAAGAGACCTCAAGTCAAGATACTCCAGTGAACTGCACTTGCCCAAAAGCAGGCCTATCCCCGACATTGTGATCTTCGGACGGTTGCTCACCTTGAAAACCTTCAAACCCGACAGGTAGCCATTCCCCAAATACCAGAAAGTAGCATCGGTGATTTCTTCACAGTTACCAATATCAAGAGCCTCCAAGTTTTTGCAATGTGTGAGAATGCAGCTTAAGGAAGAGTCGGTTATACTCAAACACCAATCCATCCTCAGGTTCTTGAGACTGTCTCTACAGGAACCAGACAGCGGTTTTATAGATTTGTCAGAGATGTTGCGGCAACCACCAATTATTAGGGTAACCAGATTCTTGCAGAATTTTGCCAAAGATAATATGGATTTGTCCCTGACTTTGTAACAGTCCATCAACTTCAGTGTCTTAAGGGAAGATGCACAAACTTCTGCAACACTGGACACCCCAGCATCTCCGATATTATGGCATTTATTGATATCTAAATATTTTATCTTCCGACAGCCTTTTACAAGATCATTCAGGCCTGTCCTGAATCAGTAATATTTCTGCAATCTTGAAGTCCCAGAGCTTCCAGATCACGGCAATTCTCAGAGAGAGATTTTAATAGTTCGTCTGAGACAGATCGGCATCCAGCAAGATGCAAAGTCTTTAGGTCACGACAGCCTTTTGCAACAGCCAATAGTCCTTTATCCGTGAGCATTCTGCAGTAGTACATCCAAAAACTGCAGAGAAGCGAGACTAGATCCAATTGTTGCCAATCCAGTATCAGTAACACCTGTTTCAAGAAGCAAAACCTATAAGCAAAAACCAAACTCACCCAAACCAAATTTACAGCAGAACAAACCAAAGGTTACACCCAGCGCTTCGACATGGTAGCCATAGCCGTGCCCACCATACCAAAATCTCTCAATTCGAACACCCCTTGAAGCCGACGAGTTTCAAAAAGTAAAAACTATGGATAACAGAGAATTTCGTTCAATATCCTACCATGGAAATAGCCTAAATGAGGCAACAACATACAATAATGGACTAACCAAAAAGCCAACCTAACACCTTCAAACACCAGAAATTATCTCGAAATTGCAAATTACCATCCATAAACACTTCCACAAGAAAGCTAAGAGCTTCCGGTCGAAACAAATGAAACCCAGAAAGGTAAAAGCCATATTCTCCAATTTTCAATAAAAAGCAAGCAACCACCTTTACAGTTCTGCAGACGGAGAACTCTCAAGCACTTGAACCCCTCGACGATGACAGAGAGGTCAGAATCCGTGTCTCCGCGGTAAAAAGACCTGGAGTTTGGCTGAGACAGGTCCAATTCGACGAGACGAGTGAACCTCGCGGCCATGCGGCGGAGCATGTGCGTACCCGCGCGCGCCGCGAGCTTGTTCCGGTCGGCGCTCTGCAGATGAAGCCACCTCTTGCAGACCAGACCGAACACCTCCTTATCCTTGTCGCTGTCCAACCTCGACAGCACTAATCCCAGCTCGTCGTCGGTCAAAGCCTCGTTAATGCAGACGGACCCCATTATCAGAATCGGGAATCTCCACAAGCTCAAGCTGAGATTTTTAATTGGATTAAAATTAGGGGTTAAGGCTAATCAGAAACCCTAATCTAACCTATTTTCATCAATATCTTGCCTCTAATTATATATAGGCTGGTGACTTAAATACCCTCGTCTTCTAACAGAATCATTGAATCAATGCTTAGTATTAAGTTAAGGGCAATTAGGGAATTTTAAGAAATGGACTGTTTGTTACAATTACAAGAGTGTTTCACTCTCTACAGATTGATATGCTGGTCGGTTACAGACGACTTAGTAAGAGACATGACCGGGTCACAAGGACTAAACCGAGTCACAAGAACTAAACCGGGTCACAATTCTTTCTAAACCGGATTGGTACAAGTCGAATAATTGAGAAAAAAAAACGTAAGAATTGGGATGAGGTTCAACCAAATTCAATGCCCAGGAGCTGAAACTCTTGAGCTGCATCTGAATTCCAAAGACATGGTGGTTCCTCTGTTTCTACACGGACACCATATGTATCGATAACTACACTACAAGAAACCGGAATTTTACCACTAACCAGAACAGAACAGCCCTCATAAACTCCATTCCGAGGCGGTAGATTCAGCAATGAGGATCTGGGCACCGAAATCATCCCATCACTGGACAAATCCCGGGTTCCAACTCTCGAGATAAGCCGATGAGGCCTGCCTAGAAGCTCAGTTACATATTCCATGTCTCCCAAGGCAAGAGCATGGCGAACACGAGTTGAAGAAACTTGTCCTCTGTCCTCTCTGTCTTCTGTCTCACTGCCTCGAGAATATTGATTCTTGTCCATCACAGAGTTTATGACATAAGCCCCGATACCATACTCCCCACACAGCCTCACGAGCTCGGCGGTGTCGCCAGAAGCTCTGTATCCAAACCGGTAATTTTCCCCTGTTTACAAAAACCGGTTTTGAAATGAATTTGTGTTTCGGATTTCAGTTTATATAAACTGAATGAAATGGTATTCGAGAGAGAAGCAGATAAAAAATAGGAGAACCTGCAACAACTCCACAAACTCCGAGCTCTGACGTTAGCTTCTCCACAAACTCTCGGGGGCTAAGATGTCGAACACTGGAAAACTCTATCTGGAATTCAACCGGTGTTATGTTCCCACAATATGAAGCCCATGAGGAAAGCACCCGTTTTCGATCGCATTTGGCCACTATTGGAACCCTGCACATGCGGATATAAGAAATACTTGCCTAGATAGTGAACTGAATACGTCGATGAATTTGAATCACCTACCGAACAAAAGTTGATCACGTAAATTTAGTTCCCGATCACACAAAACGAAATTAACCAAAAACAATCATTCTTCACCAATAGAATTTTGATGGAACCCTCTGCTATGCAAGCTTGTCACGACATGTTCTTTTAGATCTCATGGCAAGGAAGGATGGAACCTCAAAGGTGTTAAAGCAAGGTTTAACCGTCACGACTGGACTGTATGTGATTGTCTATTCAGAGTTGGAGTAAGAATGGGAATCGGTTTCATATCAGAGGGAAAGGAAAGCTAGAAGAAATACAAAGAGAGCGGACACTACCTAGGCTCCCAACCAAGTACCTCAGCCATTCCGACAAAAGACAACAGATACGGAGTTCCAATTCTCGAAGCTTGAATCACAAGCTCTCTGTGCCCAATGTGTAAAGCATCAAACTTCCCTAGAGCAACAATCCCTCCTTCAAAAATGGAAGGATAATGGCATATGCATTAGACGATAATCCAGAAGGAAACGCATAATATAACAACAGGAAAGGTGATTCAAAACAAGAAACGGTAGACAGTTGAATGGCAAATTGAAAAGGGCGCCACATACAAAGCACTTCGCTGCACAACCTACCATTCCGAAGAACACTACCGAGAACACACAGCGAATACTCTGTCCTAAAGGTGAAACCTTTGAACCAAAAACGTCTAGGAAATGTAAACACAAAACTGTATCCCTCATCCCAAGACAGAAATGTATGAAATTTTTAACACTACACAATAACATCTCATAGGCAGGAGTGAAATCAGAAAAGCAAGCAAAGAGGTACCTGCAACTGGGGACAACCCCTCAACTTGAAGGCCACTATCATCTTCTCGCTGGCTTCGGCATGAGAAAGAAAGACAGATAATTAGACAAAGGAAACGAGAAACATCTACCGGTGTGTGCAAAGTTACGTTTCTTGATTAGAAATCGTCAAATAGATCAAAATATGATCATTTTCGGGACAAAATCTCTCTTTTCGGCAACTGGCTCCTCTTGTCCCTCGAACCCAGAGACCTAAATCCTGCTATGGAAACGATCCATTGCAGTCAAGCTAAACCCCCCATTGGAATTTTCACATCAATTCATCATCACACCAGCTCCGTTTCCACATCTCTGAATCCACGGAAAGTACACGAAACAAAAGCAGAACTGAAATCTAGGAGAAAAACAAACCTGAAGCAATCGTGAAGAACGGGATTTTCACTGGGAATCTTGCAGTGAGAACCAGAGGAAGAAACCATCTGGTCCGGCAAACTATGGCCGGAATCGGCGTTAGCCAGAGTCGGGTGAGGTCTCAGACCGAAGGGAGAGAATTGAACAATCTTTGCACCGCAAAACCCTAAACCTAATCCAACCGTAGCATCATGATGATGATGATGATCCCACAAGTGCATAGACACACGAGAGCATCCGCACAACATGGTTTCGACCAAAGTCTTGCAGCCAAAGGTCTGTGGCACAACGCAATGGTATTTGTTATGTCCACGTAGAAACCTCTGCCTGTTTCGGAGGGTACTAGAAGACAAAAAATGAACCTGGCTTCTGTTCTAGCCATTACTCACTTTCACATGTTCCATTTTGACAGTTCACATCACAGACTTCATCGTCCAAAGACTATCAGATACATATCTATTATCAGTTTGTTATACAGAATGTTCAATCAGAGAAATTGCCATTCTACAAATCAATGAACAAAACATAAGGATAAGGGCATTATGAACAAAAACCCTACAGACCAAATTTCAGAACTTTTATTCACATACAATGATACCACCAGAAACCCAAAAGACCCATGAAAGAAAATTAAATTATTCAAAACGTTTCTACAACAATTAAAAACTCTTGTGAGAATGAGAGCTCAGTCTTCTTTAATGATCAAAGGCTGTCACTTTACAAAGGGAACACCAGATGGAACTCTTTGGGCATACTCCGCATACTCTGCCCCGAAAAACTGTCTCAGAAAGTACTCCTCGTACGGTATTCTCTGGGCGAAAAAACGCCAAACCACGACCGCAAACGCGACCGTCGAAATGGGATTACAGAGCATTACTTGTGTCCCGACAGACCATACGAGGAAACCACAGTAGCTCGGATGTCTCATCAGACTATACACTCCTTCTGTCACAAGCCTGTGATGATCCTCGTGGTAGACCTTTATCAGATGTGTGAACGATCTCCCGGCCGTTATTATCGATGTTTTCCGGATGATTTCCCCTGTTATAACCATTACGAGACCAAGGTTGCTAACCCACCAGTGTTCTTTCAGACCCGGGAACAGAACGATCTCAGTGGCATACTCGACCAGCCCTATCAGCATTGCGAGAATGTAGTGTTTGCTGATCAGAAGCGAGCTGAGGCTTACGTTTGATGCCCCGTGGATGGTGATTGCCAAAATGTATTCTGATGTGTGGAAAAAGATTATGGCCAGTAACATCTGAGACAACTGTCTGCAACCCGTGTAACCGAATATCTCTGCCATTTCCATCAAAGAAAGATACGTGATTTTTTTTTTCTTCTCCTCTCCGAAGTGAACTTATGATGATGATTGTTTACAAGATCGACTTCAGACCTGAAAAAGAGGCGGAGGCGTAGAGTTTCAGTACAAGAAGGTGGTCTCTGAAAACACATCCGAGAGGCTCCAAGAACACCATACCCTACAAAGGAATTCCAAACAAGAACAAGAACACTAGTTCAACTTATTCAATCCAGTTCTTCAATGTTGCATTGTATCCTAAAAAACCAAGCTTTTGATCATTATAATGAAAATGAGACCGGTCATCAGCTCCTTTCTAGATTAATATTCTTTAAAGCATGAAGCAAAAAGATGGACTATTCGATTATATTAAAATGCAAACGCTAACGCAAAATACAAACTCAATGCAATTCCACAACCTCATATCCATCTAACAAACTCTATCTAACATCTAACTAACAATTGAATCAACATCTGCCATATAGAAGTCCACATTAACACAACTGCTGTGAACCTCATTCCAAATAGTCTGATCCCAAAAAACTGCAGCCACAGATTCAACTTACGGCCAACACAAAGATAAATGTAGCATTTTCACAGTGAGCTCAAGGGTCATAGAATCACTGTAGATTAAGAAACTTTCAGACATGGGACAAGTAGTTTCAACACTGTTTTACAATGCCATAACATAAACATTTCAAACAACAAGAAACTGCTGCATAAGTTGCTCTGGTCTGAGCTTGTAGAAAGTGAAAAAGTTGTCAAAAATACCTTGTGGAGATGGACTGACATATCGCTAACTTCAGCAACAATAGTTCAAAACCTGTAATTAGCAAAGGAGAAAATAAAATCAGTCGAATTCATGAACTTCGACTCACTGTAATGGTATATCATCTCTAAGACCAAGATCTTTCTGGCTCAGTCTAAGCGATTAGATTAAGAAAAGAGCATAAAAGAGAAGACATCAGAGGCATATATGCTGGATTTGGCCTTGTTGACACATTTCTTTCGGACATTTTGACAAACACTTGATCTATACATCTTTCAGACATCTCGAGGATCAATTGGCTATTTTTGCTCAACCCTAGTATTTCCCAGGAAATTGACGTCTTACACGTTCCACCAAGATCAACAGACACGATGAAAGTTCTTACATAATCCACCACTTTTTCAGAAATCCTATGAAAACCAAACTAACCCCTAAACGCATCATCGATCGTCACCGGCTATAAATTCCGTCAATCGAAAAGGGCGACGAGGTCACCGACAGATTTTGATCGGACGAAAAACCGAGACCTAAAGGTTGCTCCTTTTCGTCACTCGTTTTATGGGTACGAGTACCAGCCAAGGAATCGATTGCGAAAACGCAGGAAAACGAAATAGAACCCTAAAGATGGAGGATTCCAGACCTACCCTCGATGCCGCGACAGGAAAAACGCGAGAGTGGAATTTCCCTGAAGCTTACTGAGAAAATAGGTGGAACTTGAGGAGAAGCCAAGTTTGTAACTTTCACCTTTATTCTTTACTTAATGGGAAACTGCCGAACAAAAGAATGAAGATTTGGATTCTGATGGCCCAATCGTGAAATTCGAGATAGTTTTTTCTTTGGGATTTTGAAATGAAAATATATTACAAGAACTGTTCTGGAAGCGAACGGGAAATTATTGGGTAAACGTCCAAACAAGCGGTAATAAACCAACGGTACAAGATGAAGAACTTTAATTTCAACTCCCTACTCCTATGTTCTAACAGTTCATCTCCCCAAGATTCAACTCAAGATCGCCTAGTGTTATTATGTCTTGATGGAACAGAGGCAAAAACCACCGTGGGCAGTGGACAGACAGAAATGTGTTTCTCTTCATGCTTTGGTCGGGGATATGCCAGGGCTCTGTTTATATGCGCCATTCTCGGAAGAAGATGGTGTGGCGTCTAAGCGACAGGGATCTTGGGTTCGCCCAGATTCACAAACGCTTCAGCACGAGCCATGCGGCCCATTGCAGCATTCCATGACACCAAATGGTTCATGAACGTGTTTACATACTTAGCTCTGTCGTTCTGTGAGGAAAATCTCGTTAGTTTTGTTGTCTTCCCTTCGGTTCAG